AGTGTAAAGTGTTCCTCCAAGATTGGCAGAAATCACCTCCTGCGCTGATCCTTGGTGGAAATCAGTTAGAAGTTCAGCAATTCAATTACCTGGGTAGCTGTGTCAGCGCCCTTGGATTCGAAGAAGAGATCAAGAACAGTATAGCGAAAATTGATGTGCTTTTGCCAAACATCGCCACCTATGGCGGCGGCGCGACATTAAGCTCGCCCTGACGGGTAGAGTGTACAATGCAGCGGTGCGTTCGACCCTAATGTACGGTAACGAAACCTGGCTCCTAAGAGCAGCGGACCTGAAGAGGCTAGTTACGTTCGACCATCGGTGCCTACGCGGTTTGGCTCACATCTGGTGGGAACACCGCGTGAGTAACGAGCGTGCTCGACCCCTCTTTTACGGCCCAGGCAAATGTAATGAACCGCTCAGCACCGATTTTTCCTGCACCAGGCTCCGATGCCCAAGCCACGTGTTAGGCACGCCAGCCCACCGACTCCCTCGACGTGCGTTGTTAGCTCACTGGGGCTGTGTGTGGAAGAAGAGGGGAGGTGACCTAGCGAAGACTTGGTACAGAAGAATGAAGCCCTTCACTTCGAAGTTGGTCTCAGTTGTAGCGTCACGGCTTCCTGGTTGGGGTCCAAAAGAGGGTGAACCCGTTTGGCTGGATACACTTGCTGACATGGCAAAAAGCCGACTTCAGTGGCCTTCTTGCTGTGAGTTTCTTTGTGCATTCCCATCCTTTTGAGCCCCCCTCCGTCTACGATCTCTCTTCGTAAGGTAAAACATAATAAGCATTTTTTCTTTTTGCCTGGTAGCTGGCTGGAAGCTTACCGGAACGATTCTTATCCGTTGCTGGTAGCTCAGCTGGCATGTAACTGTTGTATTTATTTTTCCTTTATGTATTTTATGCATGCATGTATGTATGTATTTCCTTTATGTATTGCGGCAAAATAGCGGAGGTGTTTTCCACCTCTAGCTGACGTGTACAAAAATGTCAACCACTTGTCCTGAGGTATGCTGGTTCCGTGTCTATAACACGTAGGAACCTGTCGCCTTAGTCTTTTGTGATGGATGTTTCAGTAAACCATGGAGAACAACTAAATTTTAAAGCAATATCCTCCGCCTTGCTTCAAAACTTGATATAAAAATGCCAATGAATAAAAGTCAGTTATTTGGTACGAATATGAAATGCTACTGAATGCTTTTGTGGGTCTGGCTCGCAACAAACTTACTTACAGCACAGGCTTTTGCTTTTAGCATCAATTGCAGAGCAATCATTTTTAAAATGCCTGTGTCTCAACTGTTCACTCATTTGTACCTTGCGCTAAAAGGGCTCGGTGTATGAGAGCATGCCACTTTACAGTTAAATAAACACTGTTAGGGTTATGGGATATTCATATGCAGCACCATTTGTATAGATAAACAATACACATCTAACTTATCTACCATTTGCTTATGGTTGGATTGCACCATATATCAGAAATCACTGCACCATCAAAGGGAGGAGTACAAAGAATCAGTGAGACCATCTGGATAAGTTATTATTACAGTGGAGTAGTTATCCTGATAAATTTATCATGAAGCATTTGAATGGACACAATCGGAAGACACCAAGCAGCACTAATTCTGACAAAAAACCATTGCATACACATGCAGTTTAAGGGTGATTCCGCATCTGTTGCGTCATCCCGTAGCCTTCGGAGGCTGCGGACAGTACTTATTTTGCTATCCGCCTGAGAATTATTAACCATGACAAGCCATCGCTAGAAACACCTTCAAGCGATATATTGCTGTCGTTGACCCGTTCAATGATGGCTTAGAAATACTCGTTCACTTGTGGTTTACGATACATAAGTGGCACTACGAGGTGAGTATCTAACAGGATTGGTGAGCAAAATTGGCATGTCTACACAAAGGCTACAGGAGGTGTGCAGTTATCTCAATCATGTCACAACTTCTTGAATGTGGCCTTAAAGGATCCTAGAATGACTACAACGTCAACCAGTCACAACCCCAATACTTCTCCCAAGCATTCCGTAAACGGCCCTTATCCATGGCGGAGACTACCACCAACTGATATAGGAATCATATGTACAATGTCCGTTCATACGGCCAATATTACTACCGTGGACAACCGAAACTGTTACCTTGTAATTTGGCTGTTAGCTTACCTACTTACGTCGGACTATTGTAGTGTGTGACTATATTTTCATCATTTCATTTGGCTTACTATCTAAATACCTAACAACAAGTATCGATTTCGGTCGTTTCCACAGCATTAAAGTCAATCACAACCATATTTGACCCTTTCCACATAATCCGTGGTATTTAAATGTTTGGGTCTGATGAGAGTTTACCGAACAGTATTCTTTAACTTGAAATGAGTTTTATATTGTGCCGCATAATTGTTGCTATGCGCAGCTGGAACTCAGCGTAAAATATTAACAAGTGGTCATGTCCGACAAAGAATAAAGCGTATCATGAAAGACATTCTTAACTAATATCAATAGAAAACAACTACGAGTAAGAAGTGCTCATCTCCGTAATGTCAGATTTGATTTTGTATTACCTAACCAAGTTAGGACAAAAACATGAAACCTATCACATGCATCCATATAAGGTACCGGTAAGAACACTCTCAGAACTTACCGCTGTGATAAGTGGCCTCAAACATTTCTGTCGTGTTCCCAATTACTGCAGCATATATGACCATCATAGTATTTGAGGTAGAATTTAGTGATACTGGACGGATTTCTGAATATGGGTTTCCGAAATAGACGACCGGTGCACCACAATCGCTTCCATCCAAAATACGTATCCAATTACCTGGGAAGAATATCTGGAAAAATGCAACATATCTCCCCTGCGAATATGTTGCAGACTGAATATGAAAACACGATTTCAACTGTGATTAACAGGTCAGCACTAAATTATTACAGTAGAACTTAGTAGGTTATTGGCGTGACAATGGCTCTATTTTTAACAGCTGCAAACTTATGCAGTTCGCCTAGTTAAAAAAATTGATTACTGCCATAAGGAATTCTTAGAATAATGCATGCTACACTGTCGTATATTGGTTGTAGAGTGGTGACGCGATATATGTAGTTGTCAATAAGTTACCAAGAACGTACGGAAAACTTTGTCAGATTAAAAGCAATCGTTTTGCCAGATTCGACCGCTATCCTCCAGATGCATAAATAGTTACGTCCTTTTTCTCCTTGATACGACAGATTTCCAGACTCTCCTTTTATCTCTTCTCCACATTGCACTGAAATGGACGCATTGAAGGATCAATAACCTATTACGCACGGCACATGTCGCGTAATTCAAGTTAATGTGAACGCGTTTTTGGCTTTGTGTAATACACTAACTGGTACTTATTTGTTCTCTGGGAGTATTTAAACCAAGTTTTACAACACTGTTGGTTTAACAGTACAAACTCGGTAAAAGCCACAAGACAAGCGGTGACACTCGGACTAAAATGACCTTTTTGAGCAAGTGATTAAAAAATAGGCTTAATACATATTGCCACCACGGCATGACTGACAATACTTTGGAAATTCCAAATAGAAATGAAGCATAAACGACAACTAAGGGAGCGCGCAGTTCCTATTGTAAACTAATTTAAGAACATCTCTTTGGACTTCTGTAAGACCATGAGGGAATAGGGAACTCACTCAATATTTTATTTTCCGCTGCAGCGTAATATAATATCACATAGTTAGAAAGTATCTCAAATGAGGACATAATTGTTTAATCATGATTTAAAAGCGCTGTCTTCACACTGAACACCAAAGCACTCAAAACATTTCACCACTGCTTTTATCCAGTTGTGCGCTCGCAACCGTTATTGAGGGAATTAATCCAGTGCAGTGTTTCCTACCAAGAGTAATTATTTTCTTGTCTATTAACACAATAGTCTCCACAGAGCAACTAAATGAAAGCTCTGTCAGATGCATTACCTCTCGGAGTCTATTTAGCCTCACTGCCAATTGAATATGTCCTTGAAAAATAATGAATGAATGAATTTACAGCACATTCCATCGAAAATAATGCAAAGGCTAAATAGGTTACTCGAGAAATACACTGTATAAAAGATCATACGAACATAGTCATCATTTCGACCAGCAGTTTAATAGACCAATCGTAATAAAATGTAATGCTAAATGCCCAAGTGGTACCTATGCCTGCCAATTAAGGCAGAATATGATAAGCATGCAGTTTGAAATACAACTGTGCCACGAATCTTTACGTATCAAAACATGAACCCACGGATGATGTTGATGATGATGATGATGACGACGATGATGAGGAGGAGGAGGATGAAGATGCTGATGATAATGATGATGATAGCAGCCTGAAGATTGTTTGCGCAGTATTATCCTTATTAGTTCTACCGATAACTGATCAATTTGTGTGGATCGGTTTTAATGCGTAATGAAAGACGACTTAAAACCATATACCATCAACTAACTTTTGCTTCCACACGTATGCAGGTAATCATACATGAGGTTAGCATGCTATGCTTTCAGTGGAGTTTAATAGAGCAAAATCTTTAATTGGAAATTTGAACTTGCAATTTAACACAAACTGTAGATAATGAATGAACTCACGAAAAGGCGGAGCCGGTTTTGTTGGCTCTAGGGTTCAAAAAGACAGATATTGTAATTGTTTTAGACATGCAAAACACGTATAATGGAAGAGAAGGAACTAGCTTGTTAAGAGTCATCATGTCAGTATCTAACCAATCTGCCAGGCTATTGGCTTGAAATGCTAAGATTTTTTGCATTTATAAAGCTATCAATGCCAGAAATAGGTGCTTCAATTACACATGCCTTAAGCACCCTACCCGATGCTTTGCATCAGTCCGAAAACCACGGATAAATATACTTACCTACGTTGCTCACTGAAAATTGGAATAAAAGAACAAAGTAATTACGTAAGCATACCAGTACAAATATAGAACTACGATCTATTTATGTGAAAGCAATTATCTCTGGAAATGGTGGATTCTTGTCGATGGATAGGTGATGATTTCTGATTGTTCACAGATGCAAGTTATATTTCAATTAGACAAAGCAGTAGAGAATAAAAGACACCATTATGTTAACTCGTAGGTGCGTGGGTTAATCAGTTTGACGAACGCGAAAGCATTGGTAGTGTTGATTTGTTCCCGAAAGCTAGCTTAATTTAATCTCATGGTTCTACTGTCTAACTCTTATATTAAATGCTACCTCCACTTGTACTGTACAATAACATGCAGGCCAACGCAGTGAATATTTTGTTGTGAGTGAAGATACTGCCACGCCATCTGAAATTTAGTAATATTTTATTTTGTATTAGAGCATAGCAAATGTTTCTTCTTTTTAACTATAGAATAGAGGATAACAGTTACGACCTTATAATTGCCGCTTCATAGCGAAATCACTGCAAACTGGACTGCGATGATCCTAATGTGCCACAGTTAACAGAGACTAATGAAGATCTCTTTCATGCAATACTGTTCGGTTATTGATCTATGCAGATGACTTTAGACTCGAGAAATATAACTAAAGTAACTTTGGGGTTCCTGTCGCAGATTCGCGAACATTGCTGTACAGTTGTTCAAACGCCTGTCATCAGTAGTTACTAATGTCTTCTAACTTGCTGCTTTGGGTGCGCAGATCCGGAAGAAATAAATAAAGGCATCCACAGATGTTTATGAGTCGCTCTCAAGAGACTACCATTATTTGTACGCGATTGAGATAGGCCAAATTTTTCCGCAGTAATAAACCGATAAGAAGCATAATTTCGTAGTTGGTCTGTTCGACTGCATTGTGCAGTGCAAAGTTGGGATAGAGCAGATCCGCAACTCTGCGCTTTGGATATGGTCCAGACAATCAAAATGGCAATGTTTATTGGAAATATTTCGGCATAGCTCCTACCAATACTGGCCCAACAGGCCCGCGGTTTCGTCCTAGTTTGGACTCCTCAGATGACGTAAGCCTGAGGCGGGGTATAACGCAGCGGCTAGCAGTTCACGGTCGACGCCAAGAACATTCTGTTATTGAGGTCTGCGAGCAACGCTCGACAATGTGGTTAGAAATTAACATTTGAATTTTGGCAACCGGCTGTTTGGTTGGGTTTCAACACGTTACCACCCAACAGACGTCGGTTCGCTTTGAGTTAGACCTGAGTCAATACGATGGCAAAGACCGTATCCGAAATGAAAATGTTTCGAGGTTGCTCCTTGCAACACTGGTAAACCACGACGGAAATGCATGTCTTTTAAGTAACCCGTCTGTCTGAATATATAAATCCCGACACATAGTGTATACACCAAACCCAACAAACGACCGATGGAATTAGGTTACAACGCAGACCAATCATATCCTCCCCTGACCGGCGATGCTGAACAATCTCACGGCAGGTTGGACATAATGACCAATAAACTACAACTAAACTACAAGGCAACTACTGCTACAAGGGCACTTACTGACATGTTTAAGTGCACTTGATCTGATTTTATTTTAAATATAAAAGTGATTTGTATGTTGCGTTAGATTTAGGCTAAACAAGAGCAGAATACGGCAGATTACTGAGTAGATGCAAAAGCACTAGCATCATGTGGACGGTTCAGTCTCCTGAACAAATTGCATTCAAGTACATCAATTAGCCTGTGTTTTAGAACACTGGGAGCCAAGATTCAACTTCTTTGTACCTTGTCACTTAAACTTAGTTGTCAAATTGACAGGTTTACTTCAATGCGAATCACGGTCTAGGTTAATATTACGCGGCACAAGCGAACCACGCAACCTATACTTCCAAATTGCCATCCAGTCAGTGTACAAACCTGTTGAAAATGTGGCGGCAAATGGGCCAGTTTGAGTGGTGGCATCTGAGATGAAGAGCGCAACCATGCTATTGCCACTGGAATTGTAGGTTGGGGCGCTATTGTTAACCACCGCAGCAATTCTCTTGGACATGCAGTCCGCACCGTCAAATAGCAAGATGTAGTCGATTAGAATATCGTACCATTTCTCAAACTATGAGAAAGGAAAAAAGTAAATAAGGTTAGGTAAAAAAATTTGGTCAAGTTAATTCTTGTATCTGGCGTGATGAGTTATGGACTATCAATTATTTTAGTGCTTATGCTTAAGCTCAGCAGGGTTGTTCTGACTACTTGAGCTGGAATTGCTGGAAGTTGTCAGTTGTCCATTTAGCTAGTATAGACTGCCATATATAATCGATTCTCATTAGCCAAATGAGTTTTTCTCACCGTAATCGTACCTAGTTTAAACCCTTTCGTTAAGTTTTGATTTCTTTGTGACATACGCAAGAGTCGAATTCATATGTTTACATCATAGTCCGGCTGTACAGGTTTGATAATGATTGAACAATGAATCGGTGGTCAACATCGAATGAATAGAGCTTACTTCGGTCTCAAAGACAGGTAGGATGCTGGAGACAACCGTGCAGTTCATTCAGAAGGAAGAATCAGTACATAAACATAGTCAGCAAAACTTTTTGAATTTGGGGATGCGGATGGATAAACGGCATGTGTGCGGTTGATTTTATGCTTATGCATGATATCAATTTCGCGAAATCCACCTTTACATATATTATACTTGTAGCACATGCGTAACAACTATTGCATGCAACACGATTCACATGTTTTATCATATTTACTCAATCTTTATGAAGCTGCCCTCCGCCTATCGTCCTTTTATTTGCTGATGATGTACCTGGGATTGGTGTAACGCATCACACACACACAGAAGATATAAGAGTTAGTCACTACCTGCTTTGAAACACACAATATTCGAATGCCTCCTTCTCCAAACACCTGCACTTTATGACATGCGTTAAATGCTGGAACATAAAAATTTGATTAGACTTCACTGAACAAGTAATGTTGTTGGGGAAAATTCGGTTATTCGCTAATTTCATTAGGGATATTCACAGTAAACGAAACATACTGCACATTTCGATCTTTAATATAAACATCAGGGTGCAAGTGTTCCAAATTAAAGAAGATACTTACTTCAGCTTTAGTGAATGTTAGGTTGACTTGACTATTAGACGGTAGTTGGATGGCATAATTGCAGAATTCAGAAGCTTTAGTCGCTTGTGGATAACCTGGGCTGAGCAGTTGACCAGTTTCTTTTCCGCTGAAAGTTTGACTACAGGAAGCATCTCTCGAACTCGCTAAAACACACAGTGAAGTGAATTTAGTAAGGTTAACATTCTGACCACATTAAGGCAGTACTAATTAAATCAATGAAAATCCACTGATGCAGGAAGTTAAATATTTGCAAACGAAACAGCAAGCATGTTAGTGGTTGTTCATGCAATAATGACATCTAAGATCTCGGTGCTAATTATAAGGACATATCATGAGAGAAGCCTGACACCAGTGCTTTATTGAAAAACCCGTGGAATTTGTTTTCAATTCAGCTATAGGGTAAGTAATGAAAGTATTTGGCATTGGCATCGTTATTCACTGGTTGAAGCCACAGCAGCCAGTGCTGTTCACCATATAATTACACAAATGAAAAATTGATTTTTCAACCACCGAGAAAATATTCACCGTACATTTTCAAAGATTAACTACATGCATTTTGAAGTCCGCCTTCTTGCCTCAAAGTTTTCCTTATACAAAACAGTTGAAGTCACTCACCTACTGGTTTAGCGGTTAGGAGAATCAGCTTCCTGCTTCCACCTAGCTCAGGTAAAGGCTTGAAATGTACCTGTGAATTTGGATCACTCAAAGAATAGTTAACTATACACAATATTGAAGCCAGAGTACGCAGTTGTGGGAGTTTTGACCAAATTTATAGTTCGGCAAACGAATCAACGCATGAATAGAGAATCTGAGATACCAGTGGTACCAGTGATATTTTCACAAGCATTGCTCTTCCTGTTGCTTGCTTGAGAGATCTGAAATTCTGAATCCACCGACGAAAACTTTACTTACAACATACACTTTACGTTGGAACCTGTAGTCGATAGTTTTATCACGTTTCATCTTATAACTGTGCCCTCCGTCGCTGCGTTTAAAAGAAACGGCTTAGCACAAGTGCCATACCATGCCATGCCTGAAGCATTTGACCAGGAGTGACAAAGTTCCGACAGATAATTTCATTGTGGTTTGATGCGATATGCAGCTGAGCTGACCTGCTTCCTGATTGGTTTCAAGATGGTAATCTCCATTTATCTGAAATCTAAAGGTGGAGGTCACGAACCTATCTGCGAGGCTAGGTAACTAGTGCTGCTGCTAAGGATGGCCAAAGCAAATTGAAATCTTGTGCTTTGAAAGATAGTAAGCAAGTCAAGAGCTGGCTTCGATCTTGCTAATTATCCGTGAAACATAAATTGCCATGCTAATACTGCTAATTATTTGCTTTGAATTCGGATTACATGGCAGGCCATGGTTTTCCTGTTTACTGTTACCATTAAAATACAACGTGCTTCACACGCTACATCCCTGTGTTAACGTTGTCGATTCCAGACACAAATCGAGCCATCCAGCATAGAATACTGTATTTATCTTACAACCAAAAGATTGTTGTTGGCATAACCGTGCCTTTTGTCTGATAAACTGCGTATAACATGGGTTTGCACAATCCACTCCATCTATTTCTATTACCTTAATTATAGACGTTATAAAGAAAACAGTTGGATAGCATTACTATGTTTTAATACTTCTGGATTGACAAACGCTTGCAGATTTAACGGCAAAAATCAGCAGGTGGCCTTTACACATAGGAGGTACCTGGCGGTAGGCTTCGGCTACTAATAAGTGAATACAGCCGCAAAAATTACACCACCCAGAAGCTGATGTACTTTTATGAAGATGCATTTATCTGGCCCACACACTAAATAACATTCTTAAACAATACCGCAATGAATAAGCGTCACCATTTCACCATCAAATTATAGAAGTTTTATAAAACCCGTACTTGCAGTGGCTACCTCTGACCACTAGATACCTGTGAACAGCTGCATAATAAATGTGACAACTGGCACTTCATTAAGAGATGTGATTAGGTGAATGCCATCGACACAAATACGCTCTGGTTGAATACATATGACAAAACTTTTCATTTTAACAGTCACCTCCCAAACCCTTCCAATGGGATTGCAATATTCGAATAAATAATCTTCGTATTCAATCAGATGAGCAGATATCTACAAGTAATTGGCTAAGCTAATTCCAAACTGAACGAATTAATCCACTGAAGCGACATCAATCAGTTTGTACTAAACGTAATTTAAACTCAAAACTTGAGGAATAGCCATGACTATATATACCAATGGAAACCCACGGAAACTTTAATTTCTAAACATTAACCGACATAACACACTGTAAGACGTTACACTACTCTATGATATCGCAACTTTACTGGACTCTACTGCGATCATAATGAGTCGCAAGGCGTCTCTCCAGCACAATTTTGACTAATATGCCGCAGTCGGTTCTTGGGTCAATTAGACAAATTATTCTTACCAACAGTTTCGTAAAATCGTTTAATTTAAAGTGTGGTTGTAACCGAGGTTTTTTGAATGTTTCGAATTATGTGTGTCCTAAAAACTTATTATTTAAGCGCCCTCCAGTAGTATTATCTGTGACACCAAATTTCAGCCGATAATCCAAGAGTCTGGCTCTAATACATCCGATCAAATTAGAAAATATTTGAAGATTAATGTACTGATTCCATACTTCATGGAAACAGACATAGTTAACATGCGACGTGAATGTAAAGCAAACATAACAAGTGTAAGTTCTGTTATATTTCTTTATTCGACCTTCGGTTTTTCATAAGTACAACTTTACTGTGCCGACTTGTCCGTTAACCCAGAATGTTTTACTTTACTACGTTCACTCTTTCGGTTTTTCGTCAATTTTTTCAAGAAGTAAAATAGTACGCTCAGACGGCAATTTAGTAATTCTTAGCCTGATGCGTGCCCACTTGCAAACAATCTGTCAAAATGAAATATTTATTGACGGGAAGAGGCACCCTCTCAATGGTCAGATGACATTCACGGCCTCACTGTTTATAAGGGGCAACACAATTACGCTCTGTAGCAATGTGCAATCATTCCTTTCTTCCTTATACTTTGTTATTTATTAGGTGGACAACGTTGCTGCGTGTGTTACTCCGTATCCAAGCACAACATTTGTATTTTCCATGTTGTCATCTCGATCCCTGCGCAACAGATTCTAGGAAGCACTGATTGGTTAAAGAGCACTTTTAGCTTTAAGCTTACTACATGTTTTAAGGACCATTTTATTATAAACACATGCTATAAAGCGCATTAGTAACAATCAGACAACTCGAAGAATATAGATGTTTGGCGTGGTGCATCGCTAAACCAAGCAAGGAGCTGATAATCATACACTTTGACTGTATCATGAAGTGACTTCTATAAAATTAAGTGATCTATGAAGCCGCTAGTACACCTAGAAAGCGAAAGCTTTCAAATATATTATCATGTTCTAAAATACTCACCTTGACCATCAGTATAGTTAAGTAACATGGTGTATGTTACTAGTACGAGTGCATAAAAATCAAACCGAGCCAGGATCATCGCACCAATACTACAAGCTTTCAAGTGCTTCAAAACACGAACTATGACCCTACGACCAGTGTCTTTAGGCTTACACGTCTGCTTTTTTATAGCGGTTGCCATTGTCCTTGGGTGATCGGATTCATGTAAGTGAGTATGTACTAAACGTGATGTACAGACATGGCAACTCCGTCACTGGGTCTTAGACATCACCTGACATAACGAAGTGCAGTATGTTGGAAGTTGAGTAGGTGTTAAGTATGAGGGCGTTGACGGTGTTTCTGGTGTTTCTGTGCAAATCAACTACCACGTCGCTAGCAAGAGTACGCAAGCAAAATGAAAACGCCTCTAAAGTCCCTCATCGACCACTATAGACTGCTGTTGATGTATGTCGCTCTCAGCAAAATAAGAAGAAGCATTATATTAATGTAGCAGATCAAAGCTACAAGGGTGAGTTGAAGATGTGGGGTACACATGACCTGCGCATTTTCGAGCCTGCTTACAGAAGAATACTTTTCTCAGGTTCATCAACCAGCATCAGAGTAGGCAATACAGCCTGTGGCCATTTTATTTAACCAAGTAACAAATGGCTGTTGAAAGGTGTGTTGTAGCCAACGCTTCCACCATCCGTGTTACATATAGCTGTTTCTCATCTACTCAAATTCGTTTCACATTAACTGGTAAATGATTTAAATTCGCTTTAAACTTGCGCCATCTAAAAATCTTAGCTGTCACGCACTGAATTTTACATGCCGTATCCGCAATTTCTAGTCCATATGGAAACTGTGGGGAAAACGAGGGCTTCAAAGCTATCCCTAATAAATAATTACTGCACGCTTGTCACGCACGAACAGCAACGGAGTTTGGTTGCATGCATGGTATTTCAAAAGGAGGCATGCATAACTTAATGACGAAACATAGAATTAAACGCTAAAATGAATATGTATGCCTATAGCTTAAAATAATAAAGTACGTACGCATTAAAAATCAGAACAATGGCGCTAAATGTCAGCAATTATTATGGCTTTTCTACTTTCATTTGCACGGATACAATTAAGATTACACAGTCCAAGTTAGTAAAAGAAAAATGAAAAAGGCGAGGTCGGACGGCAGGGTAACGCTCACGGAATCAAGCATTTACTTAATACCCCACTACGAAGGCCTGGAATTTTCTCAATGATTATGTCTCATCAGTATTTTGCTTACATTCTAAACGCTCAACCTTTTAACTCTCAAAGTACGGATGTCTTAGTACAGCACTCAGATACTCTAATACATACATGATTGCACAGTTTTCCGCATGTACTTTCTGGTACAGGTAGATAAAAGGAGGTCTGTATATGGGTTGGAAAGAAATAAAATAGAATTAAGGTCATTCTATGGTCGTCTCGAAGCTAAATATTTAACAGAGCCCACCAATAACAATATGGAATATTCCGAAAACTGAGAATGACTGGGCTTGGGTGAGCTTCAATAATCCATCACGTCGAATAGAAAATAACCGACTGAAAAGTTGCAGTGATAAAATGGAGCAATAAATTTTAAAAAAAACACAAAAAAATTCTACATATATTGAAAACCATTAAAGGCAGCGTTTAAATGCAAAAGATTTATTCTTCCTTTGGGCCATTTCTTCTTTATGTTTATATCAGATTATAATATTTTCATATTTCCCATGCTAACGGACTGGTTATAAGTAGGATTTTTTGCCAGCGTTTCAGTGGCTTCCTCTCTATTTTTTCAGTTTCTTGTGTTGACTGAGCTAACGAGTATTTATACTGAGTAGTTACTTTGTTTTATGGCTTGTAAAGACTATTTTATGTGAATAACAAGTAGACCAAAGTGAACAAATTTCCCCGTTTCAGTTAATGTGACCGAAACAAATCAAACAGTTATGGGCAATCCGCAAAGGATATAGACTAGGATTATAGGGATTATACCACGTATATAAAGTGCACGAGAATCTCACTGGTAAAATATCACCACTGTGTCAGATGCAACGATAGATACAAACCAACCGGAAGTAAGAGCAACCAATGGTACAGATTATGCCGAGGGTAGATTACCATCAATCGCTCTGCAACGCGGTCTGGTCGAGCTACAACGGTGGTTGTCTTCCCGACCTCTAACTCTCACCGCTTCTATGGGACGCGAGGCAACATTCTATTATCTCCTCACTGACAAATGTTTGACTATATCAAACACATCTCTCCCCATGGTCGAAAGCGACTAACATATACACAGTTCCTCAGCCGTTAAGTAATTTGGAGTACATTTATCTCACACTCTGTCTTGGTTAACACATGTTGACGAGACGTTCGCAATGTGAGGAAATTTTCATTCTAAGTTCTCAAATCCAAAATTCGTTTAACACCCAGCTACTTAATTCACAATTTCGTGTTCGCCTGTATGCTTCCACGTTGGTTATATTACTTGACTATCATATTTCCTGGTGTTACATAAAAAGGCTTCACACGACTTGTGCCTTCCATTAAGCCGATTTCCAAGTCTAGAGGATTTTCCGGAGTCTTTGTTGACTTCATCTATAATATGCACTTTAGTGCATGTGACACATTTTCGGTTAATTAACCAGATCAACACAAGGGTTTGGTGATCAATTGCTTGCAATGCTTGATCAACAGAACAATACAATCATATATAGGGATATAAAATGTTGGTTTGCAGCGGAAGCACTCATCCGTTTACGAAACGAGGGTGGGTCGCATAAGCTGAACGCCTCAATGATTACTTATCACTTCGAACGCACTGTGGCACAACGCACATCGGTCGAATGGTGTTGTACCAGTCCAAACGCGTGAATCATGATTGTCTACGCTGGTTGCGTCAAGTTGGCACCAGAGACATCAGCGGTTCCTTTCTGACCAATAATGTCGAAATTGGACATCAGGTGGAACTATAGCGTGCGTTAAGTGCTGTTTACACGGTTACACGCACTGATGGAAAATTCAACGCATCCGTACACTTGCAACAACCAAAGCCAAATTCATTCGCTTATTTCAACCGTCCTTATATTCGCAAAAGAACCTAGTCCAAGCATTGTAGTGTGTCTCCTCACAATCGATTTTGGTAAGTGGAATACAATCATTATTCCGCAATTTACATTAATAAACTCAAGCATTTTTGACGTCAACCACTCGTTAGCCTCGTCCAGAAAACCATGCAATGCTATTTGCTAATATACTCATTGGATTGTGCGCCAGATATTATGAGGAATACAAACTCTTTGGACCGAACGTATAAGCTGAGTGACTATAGCATGTACTGCGAGCTCCAATAGTGTTTGTTAATTTTGTCACGGTTTGTGATCGGCATCGTGCGAGTTCTATTGGGTCCTTGAGGGAAGGTTTCAGAAAATCCCAGCGCCGCTCTACGTCAGGATTCTCAATAACGACAAAGTAGCTAATGGGATATGGTCTTCCGTGAAACACAAGTCTGGTTACTTTAGGTTCTTTGCTGTGTGTTGTAGTTGACCGCAGTATTTATTCTTCCCTACCTTAATTATTTACAATAGTTACATGGTGGTCTAAGAAGCTGTGGCTTAACATTGTGTCGCGAGGCAGTTTACTAGTGGAAGAACTACACTCGAGCAGATGGTCGTCGTCCTACATCCCCTACTTTCAGACAAAGGGGAATTCACATACACGTTTTGTAGTCAGCCTCCAACCTTGACTATAATTACCCAGAGGCAAACACCACCCTTCACATTGTTGAACGAATTACTTGCATTGTGTGTGAATATAACCCCGAAAATCCATATCAGCTTAAAATCTTGTAAAGATTCATGTCACATAAAAGGCAGATTTATCATTCCATAAACTGCCGTTCGTGAATTCCCTTGTGTTATTACCAGTAGACTGTTGTTTCATGTTGCTATACAAGCCATTTTTATGTATGTGTGATTGACGTTTATCCAAGTTAGTGGGAACATTACCTTTTGCAATTGACTTTACTGATGAACACTAAAAGTCGTGCAGCTATGAACTTCTAGACGGTGCGCTTTTGCTGATATTAGTCGCGGAAAGCGAAAGGATCATTTTGGTCAAGTTACCAGGTAGGTGAACCGCGATTTGCATGTGTATTCTTCTTTTCAATATCTAAAGCGAAACAGATCACTTCGGTACTTTTTATCTCAACAATCAAATCGGGTCGACTATAAATTGAGTTTCAGTAATTTGTTCTTGACTCTTATGCAAGCACTCGGGAGAGAAATACCAAGTAAAATACTGCTTAATGGGGAGTATAGGGTCATTTTGAAGAAATGCTTTGCAATATTGCTGTATTTCGCAGTGCTTTCTTTAGGGTAAATCCCAATTCCCATCTAATCATCAACCAAGCTACCGCGCTGTCATAAAACATGGATGTTACGTGTTTAATCCATCGCAACTTTTAAGTATTCATCTGTTAACAAGTACCAATTCAAGCCGAGAAGAAATGGGCGAGTACCATCAATTTATTATTTCAAACCAACTGTCACAGTCACGTAAGATGTAGCCAGCCCCCACAAATCTTCTACCTAGTACGACGTGCGTTGATGATCATTTATGTGAAGTCAATGCACACAATCAATATAATAGAACATTGGCGCGCCTAGAAACATTAATGTGGTCATCAAACTATTTTGCTTCCACTGACATGGTGAACGTTCATGGTTCCGCAGGTATCGATGGTTTAACGCAATTGGCTTTTCAGTGGTTCGCTCATGCTTATGAATTTACCTAATTCAAGCTGCACTACATTTATAGCCAAACCGAACAATGAATCACTGAAATTTCTGAACCACCCAAACTGAAGGAACAGGTAGAATCGAAAGCTTACTTTTGGTATCGGTTGTGAAACGAGTGTAGGCATGTGAACAGTGTGGTATCGACCACCGTACCGCATGGCACGGAGTTCGTAGGCTTATTCTATTTGCATACTTAGCATTTTACGTTATGGTAAAACAGAAAGATTAAGCTTAGAGCATACAATTCCAGCGCTTCGATATTATCAGAGTAATGTCAAAAATTATCAGGTTCTCTGAAGATCAATTTTTGCAATTTCGGGATT